CTGTCTCTTATACACATCTAGATGTGTATAAGAGACAGGAATATGGGGATGGAAAAGCAATGAATAATCTAGCCATATGTAATAAAAATGGAAAAGGGACAGAAAAGAATTTAGAAAAAGCCTTCTATTGGTATCAAAAAGCAGCAGAAAAAGGTTATATTGATGCAATGAATAGTTTAGCCATATGTTATAAAAATGGAGAAGGAACAGAAAAAAACTTAGAAAAAGCCTTTTATTGGTATCAAAAAGCAGCAGAAAAAGGTTATATTGATGCAATGAATAATTTAGCCATATGTTATGAAAATGGAGAAGGAACAGAAAAAAACTTAGAAAAAGCCTTCCATTTATATCAAAAAGCAGCAGAAAATGGAGATAAAGAAGCCCAATTTAATTTAGGTGTATGTTATGAAGAAGGAATTGGTATTGAAAAAGATGAAGTTAAAGCCTCTTATTGGTATCAAAAAGCAGCTCAACAAGGATTTAGCAATGCACAATATAGACTTGGATTCTTTTACAAGATTGTTAAAGGAGTGAAAGAAGTTTTAAAAAATCCGTTTAAAATAGTAGAAAAAGAAAGTTTGAGCGCAAATAAATGGATTGAAAATGCTTTAAAATGTGAAAAAGTTAAATTTATATCTTATAAAGAATTAAAAAATGTAGAACCACTTGATGCAGGAAAGTTTGGAGAAATATCAAAAGCAATTTGGACTAAAACTAATAGTTATGTTGTTTGTAAAAAATTATTTAATTCAACTTATATTAAGAATGATAAGTTAGATGCATTTACTCATGAACTAAAAATGCATATGCAACTTGATTATAGTGAAAGAATTATACGTTGCTTTGGTATTAGTTTAGGTAATTTGAAACATTTTTTTTTTACATTGCATTTTTTGTCATTTTCTTCTAATATCTCATAAATTATTTTTAGATCCAAATACAAATGATTATCTTCTTATTATGCAGTATGCTAATGGTGGAAATCTTCAAAATTATCTCAAAAATAATTTTAAGAATTTGATATGGAATGATAAGAAAAAATTAGCATTTTAAATTGCAGATGGATTAAATTATTTGCATTATGAAAATATTTTACATAGAGATCTTGTAAGTATTTGTATTTATTATTTAATACCTTATTAGTACTAGCAACAATAATTTATTTATGTAATTTATTTTTTTTAGCATTCTAAGAATATAGTCATTCATGAAAGTAATGCTAAAATCACAGATTTTGGTATTTCAAAAAACCAAAATAATCAAACTTCAGCTTATATTGGTAATTTTGGTGTTGTTGCTTATATGGGACCAGAACGTCTTAAAAATTCAGAATCTCCATCTCCATATACTAAATCTTCAGACATCTATAGCTTTGGTGTATTAATGTGGGAAATTTCTAGTGGTCATCTTCCATTTAAAGATAATGATAATATAGTTACACTTACTGTTTCTATTATTACTGGTATTCGTGAAGTTACAGTTCCTGATACTCCTGAAGAATATGAGAAACTCTATAAAAAATGTTGGAATCAAGAACCTGAAAAAAGACCATCTATTAATGAAATATTAGATGAATTTGAAAGGATGGGTTTCGGGAATAATGCTACAAGCAAATTGGTTGAAGGTATTTATTCATTATTTGTGTTCATATGGGAACACCACAGCAAAAGGTGGCCTCGGCACAATTACGTGATTTTAAGAAAATCGCACATGATCATTTTGCCAATCATCACAAAAAAAATTGATTTTTCAAAAATGGTCTTTTAACACAAAACGAAATTTTGCAAGGAATTAATTGAAAATATTACCTCTCTACGTTATAAAAGCTTTCAATAATATGGAACATAGTATTTAATTTTTAATAATAAAGGCAAACAAAGCTAGATTTACATCTTTTTCGTTTATGAAAAAATGATCTTAAAATCTAATCTGTTAATCTGAAGCCACCTCTTACTGTGATGGTCCCTATATATTCATTTATTTTAGTAATATATTAATTAAAATGGAATGCTTATTATAGATAATGATAAATTAACTTCAGAATCACAGGCTAGTGCCGAATCTTTAGAATCTCTTCAAATTTGATTATATATATATATTTACTCATTAGGCTAAGATATGAAATAATATTTTTAATATTTTATATTTTATTAAATGAACCTTTTTTTATTTCTTATTTAAAATGCATAATGTAAAACAAAGGTATACATGGATTTACAAATTACTGTGATTTAAACTTGTTTTTAACATATTAATTTCTATTATTGCGAGGTAATTTTGAGTAACACTAAACACGTGCGAAACTAGAAACTCAAAATCATGTGTAACACTGAAATTTATCCAATCATTTACTGGTCTTGTCATGTGCAAATTATTGTATGAATTATAAATTGAGTTCGTGATTTTCGTGAACGTGTAAAACTTTGAAGATGAGCAAAAAAAAAAACTTTAATAATACTGCTAAAGAATGGGAATACGAAATAGGAACTTGTTTTGTGTGTCAGAAATGCTTAAACCAACGAATAGCAGTAAAACTAAAAAGTTCCAAGTTGGTTATTTTAGAATGAAATGGAGTTAATAAACCTAATGCAAGTCATCCTATATTGGTTGCTTTATTACAGTCTTAATGATATACATAAATATCAATATTATTTATCAAAAAAATTTAATTTTACTTTATGTGCGAAGTGTAACAGCTAACTTGTAAGAGATCAAAATATTTATAATAAAACAATTTAATTTCAATTGATAAGAAAGAAAACCAAACTGCTAAGACACCTACAAAGCCACTCAAACCCTCAAAACTAAATATTGTACTTAATTCTGATATTTCTTTCCGTTTCAAACTAGTAATTAAAACACCTGATTTGACTAAACCAGCACTTTAAAAAATACCAGATTACTTTGAATTTGACGATTTAGTATTACAAATGTTTGCGAAACAGTTTGTTAAGTGGTTCGTACTTCGTACTGAATATGAATTGTCTTATAAAGCAGAAAAAGGAACAGGAGCTGGTACAATTTTGGAAGAAGAAGAGGAATTTGAAGAATTTATAGGAGAGTATCATAGATTAACTAACTCTGATAAGGCTTTATTGATTACAATAACTGTTAAAAAAAAGAAAAAGAAAAAAGAAAAATAAGGTATCTGTTGTTTTTTTTAAAGGATACTGCTAATTTATAATAATAAATTATTTGTATCTTTGTTAGAAAAGTTTAGAGATATCAGAGATACTGAATCTGTGAGCGAAGATGATGAATCTGAACTAACTGCCAAGCAAAAAAATAAATAAAAAGCTGTATTCCTTGAATGTTTTTTATACACAATTTTAATTCAGACACTAAATTCCAATACTCGCAAATGTACAGTTCATATTAGAAACCACCTTTAAATAATATGATAAAGGATATTTTAGGGGTGGGTTAGGCAAAATCTTACGTGACACAAAATTAAATATTTTATTGGTTAAAATAGTATTATATATATAATTGAATATTATTGGTTAAAAAAAATCTTATCTGGAGGTGGGGTAAGTTTCCTTATGAAACTAATATTAGCTAATATATGTCACTGCCCTAAGAACCGTTTGATATTTTTCACTTAAATAATTATTAATATTGTTTCTTGATCGTATTTTTTTTTCAAAGTTATAACCTATTTGACTCATCTAAGTCGATCATTTTGGCTAAAATTAACATTAATTTTGGCCAAAATGATAGACATTCCGATCATCAAGTGAGCTATATGTTTTTCTTACAAAAAGAAAAAATGATAAAAATAAGGAAGTGGTTTGAATTTTGAGCCAAAAAAAATTTAGACGTTAATACTAAAAGTATCCGAGAGTTTTTCGTCTGATTGGGAATTATGGTAGGTTAAATAACTTAATCCAAATTTTTCATTTTCAAGATATGATTCATCGATATAAATCTCCGTTACGTGACATCCTACAAATCAAATATCATATATAAGATAAATAAAAAAATTAATCTTTTTTTATGATTGGTGGGTGTTTATTTTAAATTACAAATTTATAATCTTTAGTAAGAGACTACCTACTCATGCAGAAATATCTTCAGTATCCTCCCTAGCTAGGAAATAAGAACACAAGTCACTACATACTTTTTTTTATACAGTACAATAAATTAAAAATCCTGTATAAAAAAAATAGCAATAATGATAAATTATTATTTGAATCGACTTCGTATCGCTATACCATACAAAAGATCTAAATTTCAAGAAAGAATACTAAACTAACTTTCACTTATAATATCAATAATCCAATATGAGTGAATAAGCTTTATAACATTATTATAAAATCAATTCTACCAAATTTTTAACATGTATATTACGTTTATTGGTTTTAGTGCATAATTATTACGAGAATACAATTAAATAATTTATTTAAGTTAATAAATAATCAGGGTGAAAAAAAAATTTTTATTATACTTACTTCTTTTTTTCTTATCCGATAATTGTATATATTATGACAATGTTTACACACTCTAACCCTTCCTAATGACTATTGTACTTGAAAAGATTATGAATGATGGCAAAAATATACGTATAATTACGTCATTATGACATCTTACTTAATCACTAAAATACGTTTAATTATGGTATCTTTCAATTTATGTGGGAATCTCTTTCAAAACATTAAAATCTCTAAATAATGGAACAAATCAATCTTGATTGTCTTATTCTTATCTTTAATATGTTTGAATTAATTGAATATGATAAGAAGTCTTTACATTCTTGTCTTTTAGTTAATAAAAAGTGGTGTAACATTGTAGTTCCGATCTTATGGGAGAGATATTACCCATCTAAAATAAATGAAAAACTTTGCAATGTTATACTTTCTTTCTTACCATCCTCTTCAAAAAAACTTTTATCAGATAATAATATTAAATTACCTTCTTCAACACTTTCAAAATTTCCATTATTTAATTATATCAGTTTTTGCAGATATATATGCTCTGATAATATATACAAAATCATTAGTATAGTGTTAAAGAACCCTAATAATGATCATGGAAGAAAACTTTTGGAACAAGAAATTTACAAGTTATTTATTAGTCAATGTAAAAATGTTAAATATTTATTTTGGAAAACTCGTCAGCCTTTAACTTTATTTCCAAGAGCATCAATTTTCTTCTCGCAGCTTCATCATTTATGTATTGATATTGATTATGTGAATTCTGATGTTCTTTATGAGTTGGCACACATTTGTAAAGATTTAAATAGTTTATCTATTAGAAGTTTTTCTCATAATCTTTCTGAATTAATTTACTTGATTGATGCCCAGAGGAATTTAAAAGAACTAATTCTTGATGCTGTGGTTGATGAAAAGATTGGCAAAGAACTAAGCAAAGCATTAGTAAGAAATGGAACTACTATAAATATTCTTTGTCTAAACTCGATTGATAATATTGTGCTTTCATCTTTAACAAAACTTGTAAATCTAAAAGAGTTATCAATTTATTGTCGGAAAAATAATAAAAAAATTCAACAACTTGCAATTTATGGATTTCCAAACCTTCAACGCCTAATGTTATGTGGTCATTTATCTAGTTTTAAAGAGATCTCTTTATTAATTGAAAAAACTATAGGAAATATTTCGGAAATTTACATTGACAATATCAATAAAACTGCCAAAGAAACAGGAACTCTAATTAAAGCAATTGCTAATAATTGTCCAAAGATTAATTGCTTATATACATATCTTGAACCTAAAGATTTTATTCATGTAAAAACGTTATTATTAAATTGTAGATTTTTAAAAACAATAGTTTTAGAAAGTTTGGAATTTTCTATAAATAAAAATGATAATAATATAGGAGATGAATTATTAAATATTTTTATCTTATTTTCTCCAAAATTTTTAAATGAGATATTTGTTAGCGGACTATGGGAGTATTCAATCAATACTTTTATCCAATTTTTTGAAAGTTTTAGAGGAAAAACTTTGTATCGTTTCGCTATTATTGATACAGTTAATTATATTACAAATGATCATGAAATTATAGCTAGAAAATATATTGATGAAGGAGTGGTGAAATGTGCTTGGGTATGAAAATTAAATCAAGTATAAGAGAATTTATTATAGTTGCTTTAGTATTAGATGATCAATAAAGCTTTATTTTTTATTTTTTGTGATACTGATATATGAGTATATTTTATTTTTACATTCAAAAAAGTTTAAAAGTCATTTTAATTAAAAAATTAATTATTAACCATTTAATGCAAATAATGTTAAATTATCTTAATACAATATGTAAGAATTTAAACTTTGATGATTTTACTTGAGAAATTACTCTTATAATATCATGTATTATCACTTTGTCATTTCGTCATTGATCGGATACACGCGAGTCACATGTAGAAAAGCTTTATCATAAAGGCATTATTGTATTTCAGCCAAATACTGTATTATTTGATGGGGATAATTGCAAAATAGAACTTTGATAATATGCCGTTGATATTGAAGTGGCTGATTTTGATCAGATTATTGAGCATCATACCTATCACACTAAGACTATCTGATATTGAGTTATAGGAGTAAAGAAAGGTTACTAATTTCGAATGTTTCAAATGATTCTACAATGTGTAGGAACTAAAAAGTTTTATGGAAATCGGAATCATTATCTTATATGTAAGTCCTATAAATGAGCATTTGAATGATCTATAGACTAAATTTTATTTGAATTGCGGTACTACTGTTTTTGGGTTCAGATCAACTCAAAATGAACGAATAAATTATTAACATAACTGCAGATAAATTAATATTCTTTAAGGTTTTATTAAAAAAGATGTATCTAAATATTAATCTTTCTTGTAAATAAAGAATGTTATTTCGTTAAATTATTTTTCGTTGCTTTTTTTACTCATATTTACGGAATTTCTTACAGAAATAGCGGATTGTCTTCTTTAAAAACATATGTTAATATTTCTTATGAATTTGTTAATGCAAGAGCCATTTACTATTGAGCATTATTTTTTACACTTCATTCGCTTTAATTTTTTTATACCTCATCACAGATTAGTGTAAAGGTAATATGGAAGATATGATTGATTATCATGATCTCAATTCAAAAAATACAGTAATCAATTTAAAACTGTATAATAAAACTTCAAAATTATTATTGATTCACGTATGTGCAATAAAATTTTCGAACCTTTAATATTGGTCACCTTCATAATAATAACTTCTCTATACGGATATTATGAAATACCTTACATTTCTTTTATTTACCATATTTACTAGACAAGGTTCATTTAACCAATCATATAATATTATTATTAAACTAAAAATTATTTTCCTAGCGTGAAGACAAAAAAAGCTTATGTAAAAAAAATAAGCAAATGTCATCATCTAACTTTGATTATCGTTAATTAAAATAATTTTTTATTCTTCTAAATTTATTTTTGATAAATATATAAATTTGGCAGTATAAAGTTTTTATTATAGGCTTGTTACTATTTTTATTTTTTTTTTAGAAATACAGAAAAAAAATTGTATGATGTACGTATACAAGTCGTATACATTACCGAAAAAATAATACTGAAAATGTGAAGTAAAAATGTAAATTATGTACTTCACAAAACGTACAAAGCATTGCCTAAATTTAGCCTCCTTATTTAATCATCATTTTAACCATTTCGGGTTAGATTTATTTTCTTTCTTATGATGATCAGCAGCTGCTTACGAATTTTCTTTGTCACAAAATCACAAAAATAGTAATGTTTATATAAAATAGTTGTACAAATTGTCATACAAATAGAAATACAAATTATTGAATTTCGTTCAATTCATAATTTTTTTTCTTTTGCTTTTAATAACCCTAAAATTTATTTTGAGTAACGTAGTTATTTATTTATATAACTAAAATCAAAATTATAATTCACAACTCAAATTAATTAATATAGATGAAAACCCAAAAAATTTATGGAAAAAGGAAGTTGATCGTAATAAATATCAGGTAATAGCAATTTAATATTTTTTAATAATTATAATTATTTATTGGAATTTTTGTAATTAAAAATATTAATAATTTTTTTGTCTATTAAAAGTTCCATGTTACAATTACTACTATTGATTTAACTATTGAATCAGAAAATGTAGATGAAAGTATAGTTTATATAGAAGATTTAGAAAAAAGAAGACAAGCATATGGAATATGTAGAGAATGTAATGAACCTGGCACAGGAGACCATTGGTGTCAATCTTGTAATGCTAAAAGATTTAAGGATAACGACTAGTGGAAATAAACATATTGATGAATTTATACAACAATCACAACTTAATGCTGTACACTATTCAAAATATCTTGAATGGATACTTTTTGAAAAATTTCAAAATGTCACTTATATTGCAGATGGTGGTTTTGGTAGGATTTATTCAGCAGAATGGCTTGAAGGAAATATTGATCATTGGGATATTGAAAATCAAAGTTGGTATAGATACAGGTTTAATAAATATGCATTGAAAAGTTTGAATAATTCTTCTGATATATGTTCAGATTTTTTAAATGAGGTATTTTAAAACTTACTTTGTCTTATATATAAAGATTATTATTTGCATTTATTTATTAATAAAATTTTCCTTTTTGATGATAATTAGATTAAATCTCATCTTCAGATTTATTTTGATAATATTGTTTCATGTTTTGGAATTACTCAAGATCCAAATAATAAAGAGTATATGATGGTTTTATATTATTGTGATGGAAATTTAAGAAATTATTTAAATAAATCTAAAATTTATATCAATTATAAATCAAAAATTGATAAATTACAACAAATTGCAAGAGGACTTTTAGATATTCATAATGCTGAAAAAGTTCACAAAGATGTTCATTCAGGTAATATATTATTTTATAGAGCTATTCCATTTATAAGTGATTTAGGTATGTGTAAACCAGAAAATTTAAAGAAATCAGTTAAAGAAGAAGGAATTTATGGAGTATTACCATACATGGCACCAGAAGTTTTAGGTGAATACCAATATACAAAAGCAGCAGATATTTACTCATTTGGAATAATAATGATTCCTTTTAATGATATTCCTCATGATAAATTTTTAGCTATTAAAATATGTAAAGGACTTAGACCAACAATTTCTAAAGATGTACCAAAGTTACTTGCAGATTTGATAATAAAATGTTGGGATGCTGAAATAAAAAATAGACCAACCACTAAAGAATTGTATCAGATATTAACAACATGGAATAACGAAACTAAAGATATTAAAGATAGTGAATATAGTGAATATATATAGCGAATATGATGAAGATAGTTAAGATGATGTAGATAGTGAGAATGGTGACAATAGTCAAAATAGTGAAATATATTTTCAAATAAAAGAATGTGATAAAATTAGAAAAGAAAAATTCAAAAACAGGTCAAATGAAAATAAATCCAAAAGCTTTTAAATACACCCACAAGCATTTTATACTAGTAGACTTTTAAATTATAAAAATCTTCCAAAACCAGTAAATTATTTAGATTTATCATCTTTTCAATTCAGTTCAGGTAATTAAATTTAATTTTGATTTATCATATAATCCATTTTACATTATTTATGTTATTTTTTTAATAGATGCTAATTATACTACTCAATCAACATTAGTAAATCCAAGTAAGTATTCTCTTAATTATCATTATTATAATTATTTTATTTTACATATTATATTCACAGTTTAATGATGCTTGGTATATTAGTGATCTTGGATTTGTGGTCCTGCAAATAAATCATCAACATATACTATATATGGAAATCTTCCTTACATCACTTCTGAAGTTATTAATGGAAAAGAATATACTTTTAAATCTGACTTTATAGTATTACAATGCTTATGTGTGAAATTTCATCTGGACAACTCACCATTTATAATTATGAACATTATTGTAATCTTGCAATTAATATTATTAATAGTATGAGACCAAAAACTATATCAGAAATTCCTTCAGAATATAAAAGTTTAATTGGAGCGAAGTGCGTGTGATGTAAGTATAACAAGCTCACTACAGGTTGATTATAGGTATAACTAACTTGCTTTGCCACTCCAGATGAAAAAGATATGAAAAAGAAAAAGCGAAAGGTTGCATTTGCATTGACAGAAGACACTTTCGAGGATTTAACCAAGTTGCGCAAGAGTGTAAAAAGGATTGATTTGTAGGTTAGGGTTGTTAATGGATGGGTATCAGCTGGGGAAGAACCTGCGACTAAGAAGCGTCGTGCAGAAGAAAAAATAGGTGATTGTAGCCCAATAATTAATTTATTATTTTGTATAACATTACTTAGTATTGTATATACAATTATCAAATTTATTCTTTTCATTGTAATGTTATTACCTTTAAAATGCATGTTTTACTTGTATTAAAATTTTATATAAATAAATTAATCGAATATTCTATCCTACAATAATATAAATAGTCATGGAATAGTTAATTAATACATAATTATAAATTGAAGATTTAGAACTAACCGGTTAAAACAAGTTGATTAGCTTGTTTATAAATGACAGTTTAATTTATACATGGTGATAATTATCTTTTTTTGATGAATTTTGTCAAACGGAAAGAAAACAAGAAAAACTCAATCAAGAAAGGTTAACAAGATTTGATATTTTTGGTTTCAATTTATTTTTTTTTCTTTATTCTTTTCGGGTAAAATGTCATAGAATTTAGAATGCAATTCATTAATTAACATGGTTTTACATTTTTATTATGATTGCAAGTTTCGTTCTGGCTGGTTGAAATAATGTAATACAATCTTTAAGTCGATTTTTTAAAGAATAACAACATTTGGCGTAATTTATTTGGTTTAAATAGCATGACTAAATTGAAGTTTTAAAAAAGAGAATGATCCTAAAATGGAAAAATAATATAACAATTGATTTATTTGTCAAACCAAATGATTGTTGTACAGACTGAGAAGTAAGAACTCTTAAAAATACATATTTTTTTATAGAAACTAAGACTATTTTTGACAATTTGGTATTTATTTTAGTCATAAAAGTGATCTGAAAAAAAGTAAAGCACGGACGATAAAAATACAAGAAGTTAAACACTCGGAGTAAATTTTAATAAATGGTACGTAACATACAATGAAATAAGATAATAAATGGGAACCTCTTTGATGGAAATTTTCGTTTTAATTTTAAAAGTACGAGTCAATATTCATATTTTATAGACATTAATGTACTTTCCTAACATGTTTAAAAAACCAAAATAAGGATATGATCTCAAGTTTTAGACATTTATAAGCTTATTAAATGTATGAAGATTCCTATAAAAGAATTTCAGCATTCTAATAATTTTTAGTTACAGTTGATTGAACCCGATTGAATTGTTTAAAGGATTATTCTTGTTTTCTTAAGCGTATTCTGCATGTGTTTGCAATATTCCTTTCTATATAGAAAAGTTATCATGTTAAAATTATAAAATGTCATAATTTGTATTAATGAATGAATAATTAGATATGAAAAAGTCTTTGAAAGGAATTATTCTTATCTTTATATTAAATAACAAAGAAAACCTTGTACGTTAATGAAAACTTTGAGAAATCAAATATTATATATTCCTTATATTCCTTTCAATTGTATACTGTACTATAAATAATTTTGTATTTATACGTATATTTAGAACAAGTTCATACATATGTCATTATATACTGTAAAAATGACAAAGAATTAGAACAATGAAGCCAATGTGTTATCTAAAATATTGCGAAGAGTATTGTTATATTAATGCTTATTTATTCCTTCTACAGATAAAACATAATAAAAATTTTCCAATTACCGGCACTTTATATTTTTTGTATGGCAATGTAAATTATAAAATGTAATACGTTTTTGTGATAGGTAAATCAGTAAATATTAATGTCACGTGATCGCTCCTGTCACATGAGTATAAACTAGGTATACTAATGAAGTTTTCGATAGCCAACCTTGGTTGAAAGGAAAATACGGATCTTAATTTTTATATTTTGATTGCCTTTAACTTTCTTTTTTGTAGATAGTTGCTAGTTTGTCCGATGGTTTTTTAACGGTTCCCATTTGATTTATTAGCGTAGTCCTACTTTATCAAATAGTACAGATCGAAGAGTGGGGTCCCGTAGGGGATGAAGAACAAAGGTCTATACACACATATTAGTTTTAAGTCTTTTCGAACTCTTCTTTCTTTTATTTGTAATAGTCTGGGTTCTAACACTCTTTTAGTAATAAAATAAATAAATAAATAAATAAGTTTTCGATAGCCTTCGGAAGTTGGGTTTATACTAGCTTTGGTAGCTTCTTTTCTAAGGACTCAACTCCCATTTTTGTATGACTCTTGTCGTTGTCTAAATTTTTAAAATAAATTAAAATAAAAATAAAAGTTTTCGATATTAACTATATAAACTATAAACATGTGTAATACCTCATAACTGTCAATATGTTTAAAATAAAAAAAAAACCTATATAAACTATGAAAAGAACTTGATTCTTTTTTTTTTTTTTTTTTTTTTTTTTTTTTTTTCATTTCATATGAACTCTCGAGCTGTTTTATTTATTACAATATATATGAAAGGCAATAATGTGGAGAATTGCTTCAACATACTCATTCCATATGCAATGTATAAAAATTTGTCACTATCTTAGGATTTTGTGAATTAAGGTAGTATTTTTTCAAGACTATGAAAGTATGAATTATACTAAATCACATGTTTAATAATGATCAACATAAATTTCATATGAATTTTTTGCTGCGATTTTCTGAAAACTGATTGGTTAAATGATAATTCCTTGTTATCTATAAATGGAATAGGTATTTCACCTGATCACCATATATGTAAAAGTACTCCTTTTTTTCTTTCTTCGTTTGCAATATCATGGCATGCTCAAAAGTATTGTTAGGAAATTTTCCCGAATTAACAGATGATATTATTCAATATTTTCGGGATGATATTCCAACATTACGTTCATGTATTTTAGTTAATAAATTTTGGTGTCAAATTGCGATTCCATTATTATGGAAAGATCCGTTTTCAATGAAAAATCCTAAAAATTTTCACTTTATTGAAATTTATTTACAAAAAATAAATGAAAAGGACAAAGCACAATTAAATAGATGTGGAATTAATAATAATGTATTTCCTTCAAAAACATTATTTAATTATTCCAATTTTATTAAATGTATAAATACACGAAACATATGTTCCAATATTGTAAATTGGATTGAAACTAACAAAACGTTTACCTGTTCAAAAGGACGTATTTTTTTATTATTAATTAAAGTATTTATAGAAAATGAAGCTAAATTACATACTTTTGAAATTGAAATTGCATTTAATTACCTTATGAGCAGAAATTTTTTTGATTCTATTTTTAAATTAATCTTACAAAATCCAAAATTCATTAGTAATATAAAAAATTTAAAACTTTATTTTAAAGAAGAAATTGTAATATATAAATTAGATTATGAATTTTTGAAATGTTTTTATTATCATTGCAATTTAATTTCATCACTTCATATTAGATTTTTTGAATATGAAAGTTTTATACATAACCACATGACAATTGAAAACCAATTATCACAAATTATTAATTCACAAAAAAATCTTAAAAAAATTATTTTTGCAAATGATAGAAAATATTCAAGCCCTCGTTATCCTGGTATACCATTATATAATATCATAGGTAATTCTAATAGTTCAAAATCTTTAAAGATGATTATATTTTATGGAATTGATTTTAGGAATATATTACATATAAAAGAGGCATTTAATCAATTAAATGGTTTAGAATTTATTCATATAATTGAGTGTTCTATTTTTAATTCTAATTTTATTCAACAAATCATTGATCTTAATAATGAACCATTTAAATTAATATCTTTATTTATAAAGAATGAGTTTTATAGTAATGAAAGTAGAAATTTACAAATTGAATTAATGCAATTATTATTTCAAAAATTTGGTGAATATTTAGAAAATATTAGATTTACCCCAAATGTAAATGATGTAATACAATGCAGAGCATTAGAATTTATTAATAATTATTGTAAGAGAATTAAATTTTTTGATATATATACATATAATATTCAGAAAGCTCATATTGTATTAGATTCAGTCAAAATTTTCGGACAAAACCTTAATTATTTTTCCATATATGTTTCTATTTGTCATAATGAAACAAATGAATCTATAATAGAAATGTTTTTAAGATTAGTACATGTTCTTCCTTGTAAGTTAGAATATTTGAATTTACATTTTAATACTCTGATTAGAAAAAATAT